TATATATATATATATTTGTTTTTTTTTTTTAGCTTCTTCTATAAGTGATCACCAATCATTTTTCACTGCTGGGTTACCTACTTACTTTGCTCGGCTTCAAATTTTGGTGTATATTAGTAAGACTTGCGAGTGTTTTTTGTTCCCAAGGATGCAAGTTTTTGTGCCTAGCACCACATACATGTAATGGAGTTGGTCTAAATTTTGATCTTGAACTTACTGTCGTATAAATGGTGAACCTCTAGGTTTGACAATGAATTGATAAATGGGTAACTAATGAAAATGTGTGTTGCATAAATCAACAGTGAGAATCTAGTCTTTTAGCCCTCAAAACTCTCTTTATCGAGTGTGCTTTTTCTTCTGCTCTTGAGCAATCTTCAACTTCAAGGATGATGACACCATGATAGCACCATTTCATCAGGCTGAACGTACGAGAATCGTTTGTCTGAACATCTGGTGAGACCCTGGCTCTAACCCACGTTGTGGGCCCCATCGCGTGATAGATCCTGTCGGCCCAACATCCCTTTAGCCCAAAACTATTATTTTTGCGACTCATTATATGGTCTTTCCTATTTTCTGATTTGTACCTTAGCTTCTTCTGAAATCCATTTCCGAATTGGAAATGCAATTATGCGACTTTTTGGAATATGGGAAGTAATATTGTATAGGACAGAGGACAGGGGTCTACAACATTTAAAATTTTAGTGTTAAATGTTAGTTTAACTTTTATTAATATAGAAAGTAAAAAATTGAAAAAATAAATAGGTATCAAGTATTTTCTTATTTAACAAAAAAATAAAGTGTCTAGTCTACTTTGGTCGTAATACATGTTCATAGCATCATAATCTCAATTAATACCTGATTCTACTAAAAAAACTCACAATAATTTTTTTAATGTCAGCAAATACTTAAGTTTTGTTTTCTCATTAAAAAAAAAAAAGAAAAAAGGAACTAAGTTGGCCTTAAGGTTTAATCCAAACTGAATTGAAGAGCTGGGCACGTTTCAATGTTTTCATGCCAAAGTTTTCCACGAAACGGCATCCTTTAAACTCGACCGGAACAAGTCCGATCAGTGTTCCCACGCGTTCGGATCAGTTCACAGTACGTACTTGGGATTTCTACGAACTGAAAAATAATGACAAAAAAATAAATGAATGAATAATAAATAAAGAAGAAAATAGAGAGTACCCAGCCCTGGTCAATCGGGTCAAGTCCAAAAAGGCAAAACTTTTTGGAATTATTTATTTATTTAGATAAAGTTTTTAATCATTAAAAGGATACATGTATATTTTTTAAAAAATACGTATATTTTTAAAAATATATATATAAGTGTTTAGATAAATTATATATGTGTTAAAAATATATTTTTTTTTAAAAAAATATACATGTATCATTTTAATTTAATATTAAATTAAAAATAATTCTTATTTATTTATATAATATAATAGGCTCTTTCTCTGTCGCTCTCTCTCCACTGTCGTCCACTTTATCCACCTCTAGTAAAAGAAAACAAAAAATGAAATAAAATAAAATAATAATAAAAATTATAGCGACGAGCCAAAACCCAACCCAAAAGTTCACCGTCTTTCGTCTCGGATTCCAACTACCACTGACCAACACCAACTGAGCCACCTCCGCTCCGATTTAGGGTTCCCCCCAAATCCCTTATTCTCCACCCTCGATTTCGATCGCTTCTCTAAATCATGTTCTGCTTCTGCGATTATCATTGATCCCACACCTTCCATTTTCCTAATCAATCCTTTCCATTTCACGCTCCAGATTCATGTCTGATGGCTTCCACTTCTTCAGGTACACTTTTTTGCTTTACTTTTTTTTTTTTGGCGCGATTATTATGGCTTGTTTGGTAGCCGGGAATAGTGCATGTCTTATTGCTGTTTAGCGTAATGCAATTGTATTTGGCTGGGATTATCTGTGTTTTATTTTTTGTTTTTTAGTTATTAAATCAAGGATCTTTCTTTTGTTTCTCTTCTTCTGTTTCTTGGCTGAAAATGAACTCAAGTCTAGCTAATTGTTGGTTTTGCTTTCGGGTTTAAGCAGCATTTTCTCCGTATTTTTTGTTCTGAGCTATTTTCTTCTTTTGCTTTTTCTTCAAACAACAATTTTTGTCTATTATTCTTGAAGCGATTTTTTTAAGAGTGGAAAAATTAGGTTTTACTACTCTTTCCTCTGTTGCTTTGTGTAGAAACAAAAGGTTTTAGGGTAAAGTAATGAAAATCATATGTTATGTGGTTTGATCTGCATTTTTGGTCGCATGTTGGGTAGAATCTTATATGTATTATGCCTAGCAAAAATAATAAATAAAAATAAAAGTAAAGTTGCACATGAGTTATACTTCTGCTCAGCATTGTTGGGCTCACTGCAAATAATTTCCAGTTATTGCATTAACTTGGATAGAGTGAGTTTGTTTTATAATTAGGAGAAATATCCCATCTTCAGAAGCTCCCATGGTAAATCATTGTGAAAAGAAGTGTTTTTTTTTTTTTTATTATTCTTATTCACGCTATCTCCCTCAATTTTTCTATTGTAAGGAACACGAAGGGTTAATTATCTGCATTTCTATTTCTTGTTTCGGATGATGAAAACTTTTGTTCATTGCTATAGGTCTGACATTTGAAGGTGGCACAGGCTGGAGTACATGGGTATGAACTATTTTCGGGCATATCAGGAGTTATTGTGGGGCTTACTTATGTAAAATCTCGATGGTACCAGAGGGATAGTGGAGCTATGGATTGTTTTCAGGCTGTTAGTCATTTCAGGAGTAAGTTCTTAACAATCCAACCCAAGAATTTCTCAAGTAGAACAAGCAAATTTTGGAGGTGCCTAACGTATTTTCTGTCTGGGCTGTCTTGTCCTAATCAATGAATTTTCCCAAAGTTTGATTCTTTCAATATGTATGTGAGAATTTGTGGGTGGTGGTGTTGCTAAATAGAAATATTTCTTTGCGCGTTTCAATGCATTTTTTCCCAACCCGTGAATGTTTGTTGTTCAAGTTAACACATGAAGTGTATTGAGGGCAAGATTCTTCTATGGTTGCAGGTCTATTGCACAATTGGTTATTATTATTTTTCATCTGGTTATCGAGTTTCCAGGATGCAGTGGCATTGCAGACACTGGTTGAGCAAACTCACTTTTCTTTCTTGTCACAGCCAGCTAAGCAACCTATCAGTGGCTACTTCGATCCAATTGAAATATCACCAGCCGTTCTTCCACACAATCCATTTCCTCATGAATCCTTGCCTCCAATGTACCCGACCTTTCCAACCAGATATGACCCTGTCTTGACCGGAAAATGTCCTGTAAATTTTTCTGCCATATCTAGCATCATGGACAAAACAGCATCTGATTGCTCCCAACCTTTGGCAGCGCTTGTAGGGAACGTGATTTGTTGTCCCCAACTTAACAGTTTAGTCCATATCTTCCAAGGTTTCCATAGCATCACCTCCGGTAAGTTGGTATTCCAAAATTCAAGTGCTAATGACTGCTTTAAAGATATTATTAGTATCTTGGAAAGCAGAGGTGCAAACGGTACTATTCCCATGCTTTGCTCCGTGAAATCATCAAATCTCACTGGAGGATCTTGCCCTGTAAAGGATGTTGTTTCATTTGAAAAGTTAGTTAATACAAGCAAATTGCTAGAGGCTTGCAGCAGTGTGGATCGGTAAGTTGGTATTCCAAAATTCAAGTGCTAATGACTGCTTTAAAGATATTATTAGTATCTTGGAAAGCAGAGGTGCAAACGGTACTATTCCCATGCTTTGCTCCGTGAAATCATCAAATCTCACTGGAGGATCTTGCCCTGTAAAGGATGTTGTTTCATTTGAAAAGTTAGTTAATACAAGCAAATTGCTAGAGGCTTGCAGCAGTGTGGATCCAAAGAGTGTTGCAGGCCAATTTGTCAGCCTGCAGTTATGGAAGCTGCACTTCAGATATCTGGAAAACAAATGACAATCAATGAGAACAAAAATGTAGCCGGAGAGTTTACACATATTGATTCCCTTAATGATTGTAAAGGTGTGGTTTATGCGTACCTTTCAAGCAAACTCTCAATGGATGAGGCAGATGCCTCATTTCGTATTTTATCTTCCTGCAAAGTTAACAAAGGTATAGTGTTTAAGGACGCAATAGTTTGTCTTTATTCTAGGAGCAAATTATTTATATTCTTGAGCATTTAAGTTTTGTTGTTGAGTATGTCATTTCCACATTCTTATAAAAGCATGTTGCCTGAATTATCTTATTGATAGATTAATGGTATGAGAGAGTAGTGAGTGCAGGATGATGATGCGGCAAAATAATAAGATTGTAGCATTTCTTGGTCCAGTGTTAGTATTCATGAAAATGAAACTAAGACAACGTGGCTTTAGGTCGTGTTTCCACCTGAACACGATGTATGATTAATCTGTCTATTTGGCTGCCCATTAATGCATTTGTTACTGTTTTGTAATTTATTTTCTCCTACTTTTATTAGTTTTGATTTTCCTATTTACGTGTACCCTTACCCTAACGTTGCTGCAAAACGCATATGCTCTATGACTTATTTTTCTAATTTCTCCTCGTCATGTAATCATTACTTGTGCAGTCTGTCCCTTAGATTTTAAGCAGCCATCGGAAGTAATTAAAGCATGTCGCAATGTTGCTGCGCCCAGTCCTTTGTGTTGTAGCTCATTAAATGCTTACATTGCCGGAATACAAAAGCAAATGTTGATTACAAATAAGCAGGCTATAATCTGTGCAACAGTGTTTGGATCCATGTTACGCAAAGGAGGGGTCATAACTAATGTTTTCGAGCTTTGTGATGTTGACTTGAAAGATTTTAGCATCCAAGGTACTTTCTCTGCGTGGTCTTTTTCTTCAATGTTCCATTCTCATCCCGCCTGCCTTAGCTGATGTTTTACTTTCTTGTTTTCCGTGGTTATTGGAGCAGCATATGGACAGCAAGGTGTGTTTTGTCTTCCTATCTCTTCTTATAAGTTATAATCATTACTTAGTTATTGGCACTCTGCATTCTCCTCCTGCTATTATCATTGCTCTGGGAGTTTTTGTCTCATCAAATTTTTGTCACCAAGAAAATTGCCCCGGCTCCTATGAGTTGGCCTTTTAGTGGATAAATGCTTATTGTGTTGTAAGAAGAAGAAGGAAGAATAAGAAAATGGATCCCGTCAGATGTTGGTTTACTCGCACTGTTTAATTGGGTGCTCTGAGGGTGCCAAAAATAATCCTTGGTTGTTTGAGCATATAGCATCGACTGGTGGTGGCCCAAGGGCCTAGGTGATAAGCTTTTACTTTAATCTCAATGCAGGTTGTCTCCTTCGAAGCCTGCCTACAGATGTGATACTTGACAATGTCACGGGCTTCAGCTTTACATGCGACTTGAGTGACAATATTGCAGCACCATGGCCTTCGTCATCCTCAGTTTCATCGATTTCCCTTTGTGCGCCTGGTAACTGCTCAAACGACCCATTGTTTTACTCTTCCTTCTTTCTTCATAGTTTGACTTGATAGCAAAATTTGACTTTGGTTGTTCTACTTTGCAGAGATGTCATTGCCTGCACTACCAACATCGGAGACTTTTAAAAACACTGGTGGGTACATGCCTTGTAATTCTGCAATATCTTTAAATTCTGATGATTAGAGTTGGTATATGTCAAATTATAATATTTTAGGGACTTTTTTTTTTCTCCTTTCTTCTTTGGAGGAAATCTTTAATTCAAATATTGTGTTGTTGCAGGATGTGGTAGTGGTGGGCTGGAATTGCTACTTCCCATTTTTTCATTTTTTATTTTCAGTGCATTTTTGTACTGAAAAGATTTTATTAGCTGAGGGGTTGTTGGGCTGTTTTAGTTGGGGCTTTTGGGAATTGACGTTTTAGTGTGGATTTTGCATGTATATTTTGCTTAGCCTTATCCTTGTATAGTAGTTTTCCTCTCTTTCATTTTTTTCCCCTTTCATTTCTTGCCATTCTACTCTACTCTACTCTCTCGTTGAATAATGCCAGTCAAAGTGACTATGTTAAGAGAAAAAAACAAAAAAACAAAAAACAAAAAAAAAAAAGCAAACAAACAAACAAAGAATCCTATAAAGAAAACGAGACTGTTTATTGTCAACACTCTTGTCGCATATTGTCATCGAAGTATGACTATTTGTGAAGAACAAAGCGTAAAGAATCCAAGAAAAAGCGATACTATTTGTTTAAGGACCACGTCAATGGTCTATTCTAGTAAACAATTCCAAATCCGATCATTCGTGATTTATTTAATATTTCTTTAAATATAGTGCAAATATTTGTAAAAGCGAACTCAATCATAAACATTTAAGATCGATCTAAAACCTATTCGGCATTAAAAAAGAAAATTCAAATGTTCTTTCAAAAAGAGAAAAAAGAAAATTTAAATGTTTGCGATGAAACGACATGCTATAGAACAATTTTTCTCAGAAAAAGAAAAACAGTACCACAATTATCACTTCTGTCAAAACTTGAATATCTATTGTAGTTTCAGGTTACACCTAAAAAGAAAATCTCAATATGTATTTAAAAAAAAAAAACTCAATTTCGTGCCACAGAAATAGAATACTATTTTGTCGTTAATTGCACAATAGTTCATTGTCGTTTACAGCTTTGCCTTGTAATTTCCCCGTTCTTTCAGTTGAGAAATACGCGAGGTTATTTCTCGCTTCTCAGGTCGCTATTCTTAACAATTTTGTTGTCGTTTTTTTATTTTATTTTATTTTATTTTTTTCAGAAGATACGTTTATAAGTTTTATTCACTTCAGACTCGGAGCTTGACTTGTATCCACATACGGCTAAGGGATTGAGCTAGGGATATCATTGAGCTTAAGCCGTTAGCCGAGAGTAGACAACTTGGCTTCTAAAACCCTACTTGCTAATTCTCTCTCTCTCTCTCTCTATGTTCAGCCCCAATTCATCACACCCATGGTGGCTATGGAAGAAAAGCCCAACTTTTTTCCGGGTGATATCGAGTCAATTTTGTCTAAAATCAAGCACCAACAGAAGCAGATTCAACAGAAAAGGAGGTCAGTCGATTTTTCTTCTTTAATTACGTTTCCTTTTTTTTTTTTGTTCAAAGAAAAATTAGAATTTTAGGGCTTTGTTTTGATTTTGGTTTCTGAGTCTTCGCAGGTGGTTGTTGGGGCTTTCCACGTCCGAAGAAGAACGAAATCACTCGAAAAAGCTCAAATTTTTAGATACTAGGTATGTGGGGGAGAAATTCCTCAATAATTTTTATTTTTATTTGTTCTTCATACATATATATATATATATATGTGTGTGTGTGTGTGTGTGTGTGTGTGTGTGAATATGTATTTTTACCATAATCTGATAACGGTCTTTGTTGTTGTGTTTCTCAGTTCATTGCCAGAGTCTTTTCTTAGGGAAGACGATGTAAGTTCTCTCTCATGTTTGGGGATTCTTAAATTATGGACCAATCGGTATTGGAAATTAGGACTAATTACCAATACTTAAAAAGTTAGGATAGAAATCCTACCTAATTTTTCAACTTTTGTTTTGTTTTGTTTTTTTTTTTTTAATTTTTGTTTAAATTTCTTGATCTCTTTTGCTAGATATTCTACGAAACTGTAAAATCATGTGTTGAAGAAGCTTTTGGGGTACGCCCTGAAACAGGTCACCAAGTTGTTTTAGATGATTCGCAATTGCCTGGAGTATCTGAGATACCAAGAACTGTTTCATCATGTATTGATAATTTGGCCACCAAGGGGCTCTACCTCCTTGCCAAGACACTGACAGGTCGGACGGACTTCGAGAAAACTCGACCTAACATGAAAAAAGTTGTTAGAGAATCTCTTTCATTAGTTTTCGGAATCCTAAATCCTAACCACCATCGTGATCATCATCTAATGCAACTTTCTAGACAAATAGCTCAACTCCTCAATGACCCACGAAATTTTCGGGACAATCAAGTGCCGTTTTTGACTTCCAGATTCGCGATCAGACGTGCCGCTGTCAAAAAAGTGCTGGCCGAACTAGAGACTTTTCCACAGCAAGCCCTTGTTGCAATGTATGACAAGCTAAGGGGCATGCAACCAAGGACGCCTCAGCTACAGCCACCAAAAAATGGACGGTGTAAAGAATATCTAATTAGTAGAGTGAGAAAGTATAGTAAGGAGATGCTTTCAGAAGTTGATAAAGGGGGTGATCTGCCAGAGCCATTAGCCAAAGCCATGGCAATAGCAGACTTGTCATTAAAGCTGTCCTCTGGATTTCATAAAGCTTCCGCAACAGAATTTTACAAATTCTCTCCAGAAGTAAAACTTCTGCAGCTTGAGATAACAAAGGCCATTTGGTTACTCGATACAAAGGTTGGGATAGCTGAACTGAAAAAAGTAAAGAACCTCCTGGATCCAAGTGTGGAAGTGTCACACAGGTCTATGCGACCGGCGATAAGGAGCATGTTAACTGAATACCTTTTTGAGTGCGGTGATATGGATGCAGTTCCGAAGTCCTTGTTAGAAACTCTTGCCGTAATTAACAAGAATCAAACTAAACCAGACAAACGTGATCTGAAGAATAGAGTTGAGAACGAGATGGAATGCATATTGAACTTGAGTGCTCATACAAAGCAGGTTGTTTTGGATTTGCTTCCTGCCAATGACTTTGACATGGATTTCACTGATGCATATGTGGAGGATCTGGAAGAAAGTGATGATGATGAGCATGGTTATGGCAATGAGGATTGGGAAATTGATGAGAAAAGGGCGCTAGGCACTAATATTTCTCAAAATAGCAGTTGTCACTCGATTGGTTCGAATCAAGAAGTTGAAAGTACAGCAGATTCTGTACCATTTGATATGAAGTTGCATACTGCTGCAACTACTGCAGAAGAAGACCCATGCACCCCTGCACTTGACAAGAGGTCCAACAGTGCGTTTGTCGATAAACTTGAGTCCAAGATCTCTGCTGAAGTGGATACTGCTAATTTTTCTTTCGAGGAACCAAAAGAAATGGATGAGAACAATCAAACTACTTATAAGAACCGTTACCTGACAATCCAAGAAGCTTGTGATCAGACAAGCATGGTTGCGTACAATCTCATTGGTCATATGTTGGGGGAGCTGGGACGTAAAGAAGGTCTGGCATTGAACAGGGGTTGTAGTTTTTATCTCAGAGGTGGTTGTGGAAACAAAGAAGAAACTCAAGGTATTCCAAACTCGCCTTTTCTCTTTCTCTAATTCTTTGATTCTTTTATCTATTTTTCCTCCGTTTAAGCTCAATCTATATAAATAATTTGTAATCAGAACTTGTTACGACATCTTTTGTACGTTTATTTATGGAACGTTCTAATAATAGTTGGTGGTCCATTCAAGGTTATTTGTTATTTGTTTCTTTTGGCTATCAAATGGTTTATGTATGAACTTGAATTTTATATTGAAATAGGAAGAGCTAATCTTGGTATATGTTTCGTTTGTGCAGAAAAAGAGCGGGCTTCACACAAGGAATCTGATGGAATGATAGTTGTTCGAGTAACTGAAGAGCTTATACCTTCTTTTCCCAAAAGGTAGAAGAAACTGCTTCATTTTTTGTTGTTGATGTGCTCATTACTCGATCGTCATGCTAACGCTTGTTTTACTGTATACTACTGCAGTGGGATGGAAAGGTTGAAGGAGTTGTTGGATCCACAGTGGCCCTTTTTTTTTTTTTTTTTTTCCTTCTGAGGAGTCGGGAAGTCAACACTCAATATCAGCGCTTGATCGAGAATTAAGATGATCTACATTTTGGATCAAGCTTGGCTACTTAAAATTTTTTTCTTCACATGATCTACAATGTATGCGTTGATAACCGCGCTTACGATGAACTCAAGAGAGATAGAGACTCGTACTAACTGCGCTTCTGTGATGAACTCGAGAGAGATGGAGAAACTAGCCACCACAAGAGCTCTTCCCCTTTTTTTTTTTTTTTTTTTTCCTTCTGAGGAGTCGGGAAGTCAACACTCAATATCAGCGCTTGATCGAGAATTAAGATGATCTACATTTTGGATCAAGCTTGGCTACTTAAAATTTTTTTCTTCACATGATCTACAATGTATGCGTTGATAACCGCGCTTACGATGAACTCAAGAGAGATAGAGACTCGTACTAACTGCGCTTCTGTGATGAACTCGAGAGAGATGGAGAAACTAGCCACCACAAGAGCTCTTATGCTGGGTTAGCCATTTTTGACGTCGAGGTTACTCGAGTCCATATTTTGTGAGCTTGAGTTTTATGCTCACTTAAATCAGAGATTTTTCTGAGCTTACAATGACTTTATTTGCAGAGAAAAAAAGAAGAAAAAAAGTGGGTAGTTGGCCCATTACCTACGCATAATGCACGAGGATACCGTGCATGTACACGTCAATTGTATATGCTCTTTGTTTCAATCCATTTTTTATATTATTTACGAGTAACATCTCATTCAAACAAGAATTGATTCATGGAAAGGATTTGGACCAGGTTATAGGAGAATTTAGCGAAGCGATGTAAATAAAAACAAACATCATAAATAGCAAAATGTAATAAATTTACTAATCCAATATTCATACAACACAAGCTTTCAACACAAAGTTGTATGCAATTTCACAATGCTTGATTACGATCTTATTATCATTGTATTTCGTTTTCATTGGTGTGTTTAACCAACAACAAGCAATTCTAGTATACTGATATTACGAAACAACTTCGCATATGGTCACTCATTAACAGACCCTGACATTATGGGAGGCTGAGAGCCTTCATTTTTCCGTTGATCTGAACTGCAGCAGGTTCCCCAAAGCAGGCAATAGGCGATGGTGTTGTTTTCCGTTGATTATCGTCAAAATTAATTCGGAGCACCATTTCCCCAAACATTGTCCCAAGAACCAGTAGGGGCAGCAGCCTTAGGTCCTTCGATGTAGTTCTGGTTATTGGGTCCAGGTAGTGGAAGTCCATCAGGACCTGGTGGGCGAACCTTCTTGGGTTTTGTTCTGACCCCTAGAATCCTCAACACAAATCTAGCAAGTTCTCCATATAATAGACCAGAGCGTTCAAAAAGCTGCAACAAAATACGGTCTTAAACCAGTCAAATAAACTCTCTTTTTATACCACCATGTCAAAGGCAATTTTGAGATTGCTTTTGGGGTGCTAAAAAATACTTGAATAAACCAACGCAACAAGTGCGTTTGGTAAAACCGTGTAAAACTATTTTGCACAAGTGGCAATGCACTCTCAAAGTTAGATTCCACGCACACAATCCAAACTGAACCTAAAACTTGGAACTCTACTTGTTCGGTTCAAAAGCTTTTGATGTAACTGCAAAGAGCCTAAGACCGCCTAAAGGAATACCCAACACCCCACAAAACTTATAGACGAATTGACAAGTAGATTTGCCGCTTGACCAAGAAGCAACTACTCCTAAGGTGGAACTTGGAAGTAGAGAGGGTAATAGAGTGTTGGAGAGGGAAGAGGGAGAGATCTCCAGAACCTGACCCTAAATATGCATCCTTTGCAGAAAAGAGATGAAAACTATTAGAACCGTACCTGGAGAAGTGCAGTCATGAACAAATGAAACGCTTGTGTGTTTTGATCAATGAGAATCGAAATGCGACCAAAAAAGTTCACCACGCCCTGCATCTGTCATAACAGGAAAAAAACAAGCATAAGTAACCGGATAATCAAAGGTTATATTTTATACAGTTCGATAAAAAACTTTCATCAGACGACATTGTAGGAAAACATCATTTCACAGCACAGATTGTGCTCTGTTGAAACATGCTCTTCCCATTTATTTCCAAAAAACTCAGCGGTAGTACAACACCAATTCATGCTCAGCATTCATCATCCCTTTTATACATACCACTCGAAGTACTGAAATCCAAAATCCTGGTGGGGATGGAGGAGCTCCATATGGATTATTTGGATCTTGATCACCATAAGGACCGCCCATGCCCATCCCATAACCACCCATTGGACCTCCAAAACCACTATTGTACATTCCGCCTCCATATAATCCGGACGATCCTTGGAGTCCCCCATATCCTCCTCTGTACATGTTGCTTCCATACAAACCCCCACCATACAATCCTCCTCCAACCCCACCATATGAACCATACGTGCCAGAACCATATGTGCCAGAACCATACGTGCCAGAACCATAGCCAGAACCATAGTTCATCGTTGAATTATAACCTGTAAATTGTTGAAAACATGATCTTTAATAAACAAAACAAAGAAAGGGGAAAAGTTGATATTGCTACAAAAAACAAAGAATACCTCCGTAGCTGTTAGCAGTCCCGTAGTTCTGCTCCCAAGGCCTTGTAGGAACAGGCCTACTTAGAGCATTTCTGTTAACAGCTGTATTCCTATCAGAAGTTGATACGATTTCTCCTGGTTTTGCAGTTCCCGAAGCCTCAACTACATCAGTTGTGCTTCCACCTGACGGGGGTTTGAATGGTGCAGGGCCAGTTGAGCCACCGGCCCGCTCCCAGGGTTTTGGGGGAGGAGTATTACCTGCAACGAGTGTCAATCCGCGTCAATTACAAAGAAATGAAGAATCGTGATCCAAACAAACCGGGTAGCCAAAACAAAGTCCAATATCATTGGCTTAATCCAGAATAACAATTAAAGTTACACGCAATCTTTAATATTGTAGCAAAGGCAGCTTGCCTAACACAACATGAAAAGGCCAACTTGCCCTCAAATGTCGTTTTACATATGTTTTTCAACATTTTTTTTAAGCTAATTGTTAAAGAAGTGTACTAAAATCAATTGGTTGATGTATGAACAGAACAGAAATCAATAAACTTCTTTTATGGGGGTTGTCTCCAAGATGCTCTCTGAAAGAATCAACAGTGAGAAAATCCAGCTGAAACACCAGCTTATATGACCATATTCGATCAATTCACCAAAATAGCAATTTAAGAAGTGAGAAAGCGTCTAAACTAACAAAACGAGCTTAAATCAGCTAAATCAAAGAATCAAGCAGTATTGAGTTAATTCTCTCTCTCTCTCTGATATTAAGAAAAAATTATGATTAAAAAAAATCGAGTTTCGTTCCTTAATTAGGAACAAAAAGATTCCAACCCTAAAATTGTCGTCCTAAAGCACCGAAATTTATTCAACCCATAACACCGCCAACATATCGTAATCAACAAAACCCCAAATTGCCCAAACCCTTAACTCGAAAAATAAAAATTACAGAATTCTCCCGAAAAAGAACACTATCGTCTAGAAACCAAAGGAAAAATCGCTCCAATGCGAAAAAAAATGATTTCCGTCAATCTTCCCAAAAAAGAAGTCCACAAAAACAGAATCATCGATGGCCAATTCAAAAAAATTGAAAATTTGTCGCGAAATCGAAAGAAAATAGAAGATGATTAGGGTTTGAGAAACGAACCAGAAGGCTGAGGCTGTGAATCCATAGAAGAATCCTCAGCGAAGCGGCATGAAAAAGCGCGTTCTCTTCTTTTTCTTCTTCTTCTCCTCGATCTGCCCAAAACACAAAACACGCAGAGATTTTTGTCGTTTTTCTGGATTGAGTCCTGATGAAGTTGGTGGTAGACATCCACTCGCATTCAATCTCCACCGTTTAATTAAAAAATAGGGCCCACACGGTGGCTGGCGCATTTCTGCCTTTAGTTATTGGCTCTTCCTCACATTTTTATTAGGAGAGTTTTTTTTTTTTTTTTTTTTTTCTTTGGTAGTTAATTGGGGGAAAAAAAAAACAGAGAGAGAGTTGGGTTAAATATCAACTTTAATTTTATATTATATACTAATAAAAGAAAGAAGAAAAGAAGAAAATTTAAATAAAATTATACTATATGGCAAACTTATGAGGGTGGAGTTAAAATATTTTAAAAATAACAAAAATACAGTCATTACTTCAATGATGTTCACATTTTATACTAAAAAAATTACACGATAACTATTTTAATAATTTTAAGGATTAATTTCAATAATAGTACTCTTAAATAAATTATTATTATTTTAGCATCACTTTTGTATATTTTTACAACTAGTATTGTCATGTTAGTAGTGTGAGATAAAATAACTTATATGTCACTTAGGTCAAAATATCATTTAAAAACACCTTAAAGAGACTCTCAACTCTCTCTTGCCCATTCTCTCTCTACACCCCATTTCTCTCTCTCTCTCTCTCTCTCTCTCTCTCTCTCTCTCTAGTTTGGCCTGTCACTCTACTCGGTTCCCTTCCCTACACCCTCATTTTCTCGTCACCAATACTCCGGTTGTGCACTAGATCAAGATTGGTACACAATTTTTTTTGTTTTTCTTTTGTTTTTTTCTTTTTAAATTTATTTTTCGGGAGACAGTACATAGAACTCGAAAAAAATGACTGGGTTGAACTTAATGTAATAGGCATTAATATTATCCTTCATCAATTTTAGATTTTAGATGGTTTATAATTGATATGTAAATTTATTGTAACGACCACCACATCAAAGACATAGTTGACCTTGGGAGTCATAGTATTGTGAGTCACAATATTATATGTCCGGTCATAATACTTTGACCAATCAGTCATAACAGTATGAGTCATTGTCTATGAGTCAAATTATAACATTATGACTCAAAATGGCCGGTCATAGTATTATGACCATCCATAAGGCAGTCATAGTGATGTGACTAGACTGTCATAATATTATAACTGAAATGACCCATAGTGTTATGACTGGCACACTATGACTGCCTTTTTTTCTTCTAAGATGATAAAAATTGGTAAAAAAAACAATAAATGCAAAAAAAAAAAAAGCAAACAAAGTTGTTAACCAATGTACTATGATTGGCAAATTAAGAGTCCGACAATTGTTTGGTCATAGTACTATGACCGACAGTCATAAATGTTATGATTGATGCCGCCCATAAAAAAAAGTACTATGACTCGCACACTAAGAGTCCGACAATTGTGCGGTCACATTACTATGATCTAAGGTCATAATGCTTGACCGCAAGCTCATTAGTCAGGCAGTTACACTATAAGCCTGACAATTGTGTGGTCACATTAAGCCTGACAATTGTGCAGTCACATTACTATGACTGAGGGTCATAATGCTATGATCGTAGGCTCATCAGTTAGGCAGTCGTACTATGAGCCTGACAATTGTGTGGTCACATTACAATAAGACAATCACACAATGCGCATGCCTGCCTAATGGGCGTTCATAGTAATTATGACCGTCGATCATATTACTATGACCACATGATGTGTCTGTCTTATGATCGGTCATAATAAAATTATCAAGCGGTCATAATGATATGATCGGTCATCAGGCAGAGTCACATACCAAATAAGGAGCACAATGACAATCCAATGACACCCAAAAATTTTAAATAATTGACTTTATCTGATTTTATTTCTTCCTCTAAAGCCTTTCTTTTCTTCTAAGATGACAGAAAACGGTAAAAGAAAAATAATAATAAATACCTAAGGAAAATAAATAAATAAACAAGAAAAGCCAACAAAGTTTTCGCCGGTTCTCGTCTCGTGATTGCGTGGGTTTTCACTGTCGTGGGTTCGTCGATACTCAAGGTAGTAAACGGTGCTAGTCGTTGGCGTTTCTTGGTCTCTGTGCACATCCGCGTTCGTTCTCTTCCTCTTCTCTATTTTGAATATTTGAATTATAAAAGGCTTCATAATATATATTCAAGGTTTTAAAACTGAAATGAGGCACAATTATCATTTTAACTCAAGTAAAAACGGTCTGGTCCCACTTTTGCTGACATGTCGATGCTAATTATGAAAGTACTCGTTTAGTTCAATGATTCAAGTTTTTAATTCGAGTTGAGATGTGACTTTATGTGAAATCTTTTTACTATAGCAAAAAAGTTAGATGTGACTGTTTCTGAGAGCTTTTACTGTAGCAAAACTCGAATTCTAAACTCGAATCGGTGAAATGAACGAGACGAAGTGATGTTAAAATTAATAATCATTTATTCACGGGTGATATTATTGAAATTAACCCTAATTTTAATTGTTACTATTTGTAAAATATTTAAATTTTTCAATGGCTAAACATCAAGCTCTTTCAGAGATTAGACAAAAAAAAACATATTTGTAAATATTTTACAAACATAAAATTTTAAAGTACAAACATGCACATTCCAATCAATTTCCGAATTTGAGGAGGAAAGGGAAGAAATTCAATGTTTCAATTTAGTAATAGTTTACTTGAACTCTTCCTGGCTTTTGATCAGAAGAAATTTACCAAACCACACGATATCTCCAAGTTTGACCTGGCCTTTATTTAGAGAGAGTTGATGTGTTTTTTCATAATTAAGTGATTTTAGCATTTTCATTCTCTGGATTTCCATAGAGAGATGAACATGAAAAGGAGATGGAGAAGTATTATGAAAATTTAAAAAATCCTTAAAAATTTATGTGGCACTCGGAGATTTTATACTCAATCGACTCAGAAATTGTAATTGTTTTAAACTAATGATGGAATTGAAAATTTCATTTGTTACACAATACAATACAACACAGCGTGATGTAAACATGATACATGATCCTTTCAGCACACTTATTAGATTTAGAAAAAGTTATTATTAACTTCCATATATTAACATTCTAAGAGATTTTGAAATGTCTAAATGTACTATTAAAAAAAATCTCCAAATATATATACACACACATGGATGTCAATGTCAAATGCATCAAATCATCTCATTTTTAATTCAATTAATTTTCTTCATTTAATTTGAATTATGTCATAAAAAATTATATATTTCAACATTAAAAAAATTATTTTGAAAAAGGATTGGAAGGGCTTAATAGGCTTTTTGCGGGACGGGTTATATGCACAAGAAAAAAAAGAGACAAATACTTCTTAAACACATGAACTTTATGTTTTTACTCCTTAATCTTAATTGATGCCTTTTAGTCTAAGAATTATATTAGTTAAAAGAATATTAATTAGAGATGTAAATCGTGCCGCCCGACCCATTTAATTTGGGCCCAAACGTGCCTCGTGTCGTGTCTAGGTCGGCCCGTTTATTTATCGTGATGTGCTGGGCCTAGCCCTTTTAATTTTCATAGCATCAAGCCCGGCCCATGACCCATTTTTATGTAGATTATGCCCTTAACATGCTTAGATTATGCTCATACTTTTATCTAGGGGTGGCAATTTATGTCACGTGTTGTGTTTTGGTCATTTATTTTTAAATTTACAGCCAACCTGAACACGACCCATGACACGAATTTTTTTTAAAATCATAACACGAACACGAACACGACCACTTTTTGGGTTGATACAATACGGAAATGACCCATGACACGCATTGAACCGTGAACCCAAAATTGACACGAAAATTATATAATTTTCTTTATTTTTTTTACATATTATAAATAACTAAAGTTTCATAACATGCTAAAATACAATAACATCCATCAAAATTAAGCAAATAATAGTATAATATTTTGAGTATAACTATCATGATATCACAAGTTCATAATAAAATCTAAAATATGTAATGAAAAATATATATAATTTTTTAGTTTTTTATGAGTTTCGTGTCGTGTTCGGGTTAGGTGGGTCCAACTTAAAATTGATCCGTGTTTTTTTGTGTCAATTTCAGGTCGACAATTGTGACCCTAACCTCTTTTTTTTTTCCTCAACCCTAACTCGTGAAATTTGTGTTGTTTTCGAGTCGTGACCCATATTACCGGCCTTACTCTTAAGTTGTCTTTGTCGTACCAAATAGCATATTTACAACAAATACAAGGAAATAAGCTTTTAACATAATGAAAACATTAAATTCTTAGTAATAGAAAGCATATTATCAATTAAAAAAGTACCTCATTAAAAATTTTACTAAGCGAAACCCAATAAGATAAAATCTTAATAAAGAAAACTTCTTAATAAAACAAATATTTTTATGACATGTAAAATATATTAATAAAATTAGTTTCATATTTCAACTTCATTAATTGGCCCTTTATCATGCTTTTAATGTGCCCGTGTTCATACCGTACTCTTAACGTATTGTGCCCGTAACATGTTTTATACCTAAAAATTACATCAATTCTAACCTATTTAATAAATGGGACAGGCAAGACCCGTTTAATAGTTGTACAATGTCGCACCGTACTCACTTTTTAACGCGCCGGCCTGTCAAGTCCGGCTCATTTTGAGAGTAAGTTAACGAGTTCACCAATTTTCTTTATACTGCACAAGTCTCTTTGCCCATGAACTAGGCCTATTGAGACTTAAATTGCACTTAAATTGCAATTGTAGGTATAAAGGTCCACATGACACAATTGATTTTTTTTTTTTTCAAAGGATTCAAATATAAGTCTTGCTTTTGGCATATAAGTCTTAACCTTATGAATAGTTCATGTGCACATTAACCAGTTGTTTGGTTAGGGGATCCGTACTCCAATTCGAATCATGGTTCAAGGTTCGTTACAGTGTTTTCTCTCACAAAAAATACACGTAAATCAAAAATATTTCTAATCCCATGATTCTAATCCATGAACCAAACGTCTCCTAATTAATTTAGTGTTGTTTATTCACACCCTGAAGCTAAAAAAAAAAAAGAATAGAAAAAAAAATGATTGGGTCATATAACTGGTAGTAGTAGTCTTTAT